GTCAGTGTAGTGCCCCTTACATTGGTGGTCAGTATAGAGCCCCCTGACATTGGTGGTCAGTGTAGTGCCCCTTACATTGGTGGTCAGTATAGAGCCCCCTGACATTGGTGGTCAGTGTAGTGCCCGCTTATATTGGTGGTCAATGTAGTGCCCCTTACATTGGTGGTCAGTGTAGTGCCCCTTACATTGGTGGTCAGTGTAGTGCCCCTTACATTGGTGGTCAGTGTAGTGCACCCTTATATTGGTGGTCAGTGTAGTGCCCCCTTACATTTGTAATCAGTGTAGTGCCCCCTTACATTGGTGGTCAGTATAATGCCCCCTTATATTAGTGGTCAGTGTAGTGCCCCCTTATATTAGTGGTCAGTGTAGTGCCCCCTTACATTCGTGATCAGTGTAGTGCCCACTTACAATGGTGGTCAGTGTAGTGCCCCCTTACATTGGTGATCAGTGTAGTGCCCCCTTACATTGGTGGTCAGTATAGAGCCCCCCTTACATTGGTGGTCAGTATAGTGCCCCCTTATATTGGTGGTCAGTATAGAGCCCCCTTACATTGGTGATCAGTGTAGTGTCCCCTTACATTGGTGGTCAGTATAGAGCCCCCTTACATTGGTGATCAGTGTAGTGCCCCCTTACATTGGTGGTCAGTATAGTGCCCCCTTATATTGGTGGTCAGTGTAGTGCCCACTTACATTGGTGGTAAGTGTAGTTCCCCCTTACATTGGTAGTCAGCATAGTGCCCCCTTATATTGGTGGTCAGTATAGTGCCCCCTTATATTGGTGGTCAGTATAGTGCCCCCTTATATTGGTGGTCAGTATAGTGCCCCCTTATATTGGTGGTCAGTATAGTGCCCCCTTATATTGGTGGTCAGTGTAGTGCCCCCTTACATTGGTGGTCAGAATAGTGCCCCCTTATATTGGTGGTCAGTGTAGTGCCCCCTTATATTGGCAGTCAGTGTAGTGCCCTCTTACATTGGAATGTGTTTCAGGGATCATTCATACCACCTGTGTTGTGTTGCCCTCATTCACACCACTGAGATGCAACACGCAGAGGTGCTATTGATGAGTTGTTGTGCATTGTGGTAAGTGGCCCATTTATTTGAATGGGCTGCCTACCACAGTTTAATTGCACTGAATAATAGGTGACCATGTAATGTGGAGCCATGTGGTAAATGTTGCTACTCTTAGTATGCAGTCCCATAGCACCTATGAGGTGGGGGTGTTACTTTACAAATCAGTTGGCAGGTAAAAGAGTAGGCTCATGCATTTATTCGGAGTTCTCCTTTAGTATCCAGTGGTTATATCTCCCAGAGCGGAGATAACGTGAAGCTCTGCACAGTCTCTGATTCGCTGACTCTGCCAGCAGCGGAAGCTCTCCCGGGCGTGCTTTCCATCAGAAGCGGTGACAGAGGTCGAACGCAAGCCAATGAACTCATCCCTGGAATTCCGATAGATGGAAGACGCTCGCCATCTGCAATAAAGCAGGAGCACCCGTAGTCACCGCTTGGCCTGAGGACAGCACACAGCGGAACGTGCTGCAGACTGCAGAGCTATGTGCGCTGCTTGGCTGGCTTGCCAAGCTAATTAACAGTAAGAAGCGATGCCAACAGTCAGGGTCACCAGAACCATTTCCTTTCATTTCAGCCCTAACTAACCCTTTTGATTTGGATTTAAACTATGCAGCCTTAGAGCGCCATTCTCCAAGGTGCCGCAGTGCCGCCTAGGTACCAGAATTCATTATAGGGTCATGTTAGGCTGTGGCATTCTAAATTGCAGCTAAGTCAAATATTTTGCTGCTCACCAAGAAAATGGCTGCAGTCCGAGACAAAGTAACGCAGAGTGGGCCCCCCCATTCCTCTGATTGACAATTATAAGGATTGGACTAGGGGCAGGGGTCCCCCTCCCCCATTTGCACTGACTGTATTGCACGGTCCCATCAGACACCAACTGGCTACAAGCAGGGGCATTTCTGCCGCAATGAAAACAAGGCATTTGCCTTTGGCTGCACTTCCCAGGGGGTGGCAAAAATGCCGCCCCATAACAGTTAGGCGAGTCGAGGGAGTCGGAGACCAGGAGGCGAGAAGGAGGCGGCGAGGGGGCGGTGAGGAGAAGGAGGCGGGTCCCTGCAGCTTTGATTGGGCGACTTAGGAGGCGGAGGCAAGGCAGTTCACCTAATCGCCGGTCGGGACCGTGAAGAAAGGGAGGGGGGAGGAATCTGTGGCTGTACAGGATGGGGGCGATCTGTAGTGTCTCAAGTGTGCAGTGCAGGGTCTATGGTGGGCTCTGCAGGGTCTCAGGTGGGCTTTGCAGCCTGTTATACCGCACAGCCCACCAGGGATCCTTCCCAGCCCACCTGAGACCCTGCACAGACCACCATAAACTCCATAGAGCCCACCACAGATCCTGCACAGCCAACCTGAGACCCCGCAGAGCCAACCATAGACTCAGCAGAGCCACCACAGATCTTGAAAAGCCCACCTGAGACCCTGCAGAGACCACCTGAGACCCTGCAGAGACCACCTGAGACCCCAGCTTTCCTGCTATGGTAATAGCGGAACATGTCTAAAGCTGGATACAGCATATTGATATATTGGTTCACCATGCTGTTAGCTCTCACACCCAACCATAACCCACTATAACCATAACCTAACATTTAACTTAAAGGCGAACTATGGTGTCAGGGCTTTTCCTCATCGTTCTCCTAAGGGTAATGGGAGGACACAAACTAGCGTCCTCCCGTCACCCAAAGCTCAGTATATGGCGAGCTACAGCTCGCCGTATACTGAGACGCCGCAGCTGGAACAGATCCTGACAATTCTGTCTGGATTCACCCAGCTGCGTGAGTGACAGCTGGCTCTGCCTATCTAGAGCAGATATCTAGAAATCACTCGCCTCCTAATTCTCCTTTAACGTCCAATTGAAAACACTTTATATACATTTCTTTACCAATATTTATTATTTTTCTTTGCGAAGGAGCCCCAGGGAGAGTAGAAAATTCCATTTCCTACAATGGGCTGCAGCAAGGGAGCACTACTCACTGCATGGAAGTAGCGGCCTCTCTGCATTGGTCCAACATGCTAGAGAGGAGCTTTGCTGATTGCTGCACTCTAGTTGTGACTCAGCAGGGGGCGTGTTAGACCTCTGCATTGAGACCACTGCTATACCACTATGCGTCCCTGAAAGATAGTGCAGGACGTAGGATATTCTACTCCACCTTGGGCTGCTTTAGAAAGAAAAATGACACTGAATTTATATAAAGCATCAGGCACAGGACCTGGAGACACTAATACCGCTAGGCTCTGCACCGACATCTAAAGCAAGTCTCAGCGGAAAGTCTCAGCTACTCGGTACCCAGGTAGATCTTTTCTATGGAACTCGTGCCCTTGTACAATCATCTATTATCATCTCAAGTTGCCTGCCATCCGTTTGGAATTTGCAGTGATGCCAACTAGGAATAGTCATGTATGGGCTGCATGTGTTGGCTCTGCTCACCCTCTGATGGACGGACGCCCGTTTTATGTCCTTGGGCACCTGGAATAATATGATGTGGGCCTCCATGGACGGCGTCCAGGTGCTGATAGCAGGAAGCAATATGAATGATGTAGAGACATTAGAGCGGTGCTCACAGTGCATAATCTGTCAGCGCTGCCGCCATGGTCTCACCCGCTCTGCCTGCTTGGCCGCCAGCCTGCGGGTATTGTCATGGCGGCCCTTGGAAAGCTACTACCGGGAAACAGAGGAAGTATTCTTCCCGGACAATCAGTGACATTTTGCAATGAATGACATTTCGCTATTACAGGATGTAATTCTTTGCATGAATTGCCCATGTACCCAGGAGACTCTCCCTACCTATCAACTGCAGTGTCCACACCAGACTGGAGTCATGGTCCAGCAATGTTTCACCAATCCATTTAAAGCTGCAGTCTAGACATTAAGCTTTACACACATTGCAGTACTGACAGTTGGGTTGATGGGTAGGGATAAAATAAAGAGGTTGTATTGAGAGCTAGTGTTAGGAATTATGGGCTAGATCAAGGGTGTTAGAGTTATGTTGAGGGCTATGGTTAGGGTTTAGGGGCTGGGTTGAGAGCTAGGTTTAAGGTTTAAGTACTAGGTTAAAGGCTGAGGGTTCGTTTCAGAGCTTTTATAGTATGCATTGACTGCTGGGGTTATGAGAGCTAAGGTTAGGGTTTACAGGCTAAGTTGAGATCTAGGCATTAGCTTGAAGGCTAGTGATAACGTTTAGGTTTAAGGCTAAAGTTAGGGATTAGGTTGAGCACTAAGGTTAGGGTTTAAGCTGAAGGTTAGGGCTGGGTTTAAAGCCCAGACTGAAGGCTAGAATTTGGGTTTCAGTTGAAGGCTAGAGATGGGGTTTAGGTTGAGCCCTAGGGTTAGGGTTTAAGCTGAAGGTTAGGGTTGGGGTTAAAGCCAAGGCTGAAGGCTAGAATTTGGGTTTGGGTTGAAGGCCAGAGATGGGGTTTAGGTTGAGCACTAGAGTTAGGGTTTAAGCTGAAGGTTATGGTTGGGGTTAAAGCTCAGGCTGACGGTTAGAATTGGGCTTGGGTTGGGGTTTTGTTGAAGGCTAGAGATGGGGTTTAGGTTGAGCATTAGAGTTAGGGTTTAAGCTGAAGGTTATGGTTGGGGTTAAAGCTCAGGCTGACGGTTAGAATTGGGCTTGGGTTGGGGTTTTGTTGAAGGCAAGAGATGGGGTTCCGGTTGAGCCCCAGGGTTAGGTTTTAAGCTGAAGGTTGGGGTTGGGGTTAAAGCTCAGGCTGAAGGCTAGGGTTTGGGTTGGGGTTTGGGTTGAGGGCTAGAGATGGGGTTTAGGTTGAGCCCCAGGGTTAAGGCATAGGGCTGAGGGCTAGGGTTTATGTTGAGGGTAAAGGATCAGAAGTAGAGTTAGGAGTTGAACACTTTACAACAAAGAGGACCTGTCACATGAACAGCTGACCTTTCTGATGTTTCGTAGTGCCAGTACACCAGGAACAGATGAGACATCTTACCTTCTTCTTGCTGCAGTAGATCTGCCATTTCTTCTCCGCTGGGAGCGCAAACATGGCTTCCCTGTTCTTGTCTGTAAGATCCAACTCATCCTGCAAAACAAAGGAAAGGCCTATGAGAAAATGCCACTCTCCGCAGCTGGGGGCTGAAAAATACATGCTACGTGCCCCTGTCACTTAGAGCAGGGGTGGGCAACTCCGGCCCTCCAGCTGTTGTGGAACTACAAGTCCCATAATGCACTGCAAGACTGACAGGTACAGCAATGACTCCCAGATGCATAGTGGGATTTGTAGTTAAAGCACAGCTGGAGGGCCGGAGTTGCCCACCCCTGACTTAGAGGGAAACTCCACTTTCAATAAAAGAAATGACATAACATAGATCATTGTTACACAAGCCACTCTGTACTTTAATGTTCTTAAAAAATTCACTTTGCATTTCAATCTGTAGTCACTGCTATCCTCTGAACCTGCCAGGCAATGAAAACACCAATTTCCTTTATTAGAAAGCCAGGGGTGATCATGTGACTATAGCAGACTGACCCGCCCAATACTGCAATGGACTGTCTCAGTACCTCCAGCACAGAAGCAGGTAATAATCTGCAATCATTATATGTAATATAGAACTGGTTGGTGTTGGATTCTCTTTTTCTCACCAAAAACGTTCTCAGAAGTATTAGTTCACAAAGTGTCCACCTTCCCGGAACTCATTAAACACAATTTATTGCACCTACGTTGGTTTCTTATGAATCCCCCTCCCCGGCCTGACTGTCCCTGGCCCCTCCCCTTTCATTCTTTGGATTCCAGTTCTCCAATCATGGCTCAACAAGACATGTGGGCATTACCTAGGTCAACCTGCATGCAAATGCAGTCTGCCTAGGAAAACCTACTCCTCCAAACTGACATGACGGCTTTTTGAAAATTTTACTATTTGCATAACTCCTCCCAAAAGCCAGCCCACTGCTTGCATCAGGATTGAGGGTTCTTGAGAGGAGCACTGAGGCAGATATTTAGATCCAGTGACATCATCATTGCATCTCTGTTCTCCATACAATGCAGGCAGGTCATGGGTGGTGGGAGGGGCCAGCAGGGTGCTTTACAGAGCTTCCTGATGACATCACAGCACCCTGCTGGCCCCACCCACAAGCCATGATCTGCCTGCATTGTTTAGAGAAGAACAGACACGCAATGATGATGTCACTGGATCTAAAATATGGTACAGGTGAAACTCGAATAATTAGAATATCGTGCAAAAGTAATTGCAGTAAGTGCTGCAGAAGGTTCCCAAACCAAGTACTGAGTACACATGCATGTTTGTACTTTTCAGAGGTCCGATATTGTTCTACGTACAATCCTTGTTTTATTGATTGCATGTAATAATCTACTTTTTTGAGGTTGTGGATTTGGGGTTCTTGGGGTTTTCATGAGCTGTAAGCCATATCAACAGTTTTTCTTTAGTTTTGAATACAGTAGGTTAGGTTTTTGTCTCTGTGTCAACACTGGAGAGATTTCGCCTGATTTTCTGCCTCAGTGAACCAAACAGGAAGTGACCAAAAAGAATGCTCCCCCAATGAGAACTTTTTCCTGGAGTTCTATTTTAATTAACTTGTAACAAAATAAAACTTCAGGACGGACGCAGCTCAATAAGAAAAGACTTTTGTACGTTTGCTGGTTACATCATCGCGGCGGAACAATTCCTCTTTTCACCACGCCGTGGATCGGGTCTTTTAGACGGCCGTAGGGGGTTTTTTTTGGAAAATGTTTGGTGGGAGTCGCTGCGGCTGAGAGAGCCGACATATGGAAATGTTTAGGAGATGGATTCCCAAAACTTAAGGGGCAGACAAGTGAAACAAGAGCTTTACCCATGTTACATAGGATTACCGGGCCCACAGCGACATTCCATGTCTAAAAATAAGCCAGCTCCGCTGTCTGAGGTCAGGAGGCTGCAGAGACGGCCCGGCTGACCCCCAACTTCCAGGAACGGAGACCAGGAAGGCCGGAGAACATTTGCTGAACTGGATCAGTTCTGACAAAGGGATGCTGACGATGCTGTGAGGCCGCTACATTACAGTGTATAGCTCTGACATATTCTGTGGTGTTGTACTGAGAAGCTTACACTCTAATGTCCCCCCACAGTCACACACTATTATTATACATTTATATAGCTCTGACATATTCCACAGTGCTGTACAGAGAACACTGAGCCAGTCACACCGGTCTCTGTACAGAGGAGCTCTGTACCGATACCGGTGCTTCTGCTGGCAGGGAGCTGGATTCCCGGGCAATCAGGAATCTGGGCGGCAAGTAATGGCCTGCCTCCCTGCTTCCTGAAGAGCAGGCTTCCCAGCCAAATGCCGATTGGCTGGAAAGTCGTCTTCCCTGCCAATTAGCATCGAGCCGGCTTGATGCTGATTGGCCAGAAAGCCGACCCCATGTTCCCCTACAACACTACCGATCAGAGAAAATCGTCCTCTGACCGGAAGTTCCGGTATCGGGGAAGGTATCGGAGCATTTGGACAAATATGAGTACTCGCCCAAATACTGGGTATCGGCACCCAGCTAGTATTGGTATTGGTGCATCCCTAATTATTATTATACATTTATATAGCCCTGACATAGTTCATAGTTTTGTGCAGAGGACACTGAGCCAGTTACATCAGTCTCTGTACCAAAGGAGCTTACACTCTAATGTCCCCCCACCCTCACATGCTATTATACATTTATATAGCTCTGACATATTCCAACAGAGAACACTGAGCCGGTTACATCAGTCTCTGCAGAGCTCACACTCTAATGCCCCCCCACAGTCACACCCAATTATTATAAATTTATAAAGCTCTGATCTATTCCAAACTATGACTCCTGATACAAAGACATCTTATTATACAATGATCACTGGGTGGGCACAGCAGCCGGTACCCACAACTCATGGCCAACTTTAGTTGACATGTTTTTATCCGTCCCGTTCCAACTGCTGCCTAATGAGGAGATTTAAGTTGTATGGAGACTTCTACAGTGCATGGTATATATTAGAGATGCACCGAAATGAAAATTTCAAAACCGAAACGAAATCGAAATTTAAAAAAAAAAATGTCAGGCCGAAAACCGAAAATGTTTTTTTATTTTTAAAAAAAAATGTATATTTTATTTTGATTTTTTTTTTAAATGTATTTTTTTAAATATTTATTGTTATTTATTTATTTATTTATTCCTTTTTTATTAAATATTTTTTACTTTACTTTTAGAGGCTTAGGAGAAATATTGGGGATCTAAACAGGCCCCTGACATTTCCCTTTCAAAATAGAAAAAGAGATTGAGAACACAGAGTCCTCAGAGACACAGAGTCCTCAATCTCTTTTTCTGTGTCCTCTGTTATCAATGAACAGGAATCCTCTATACTGAGTGTTCCTGATCATTCATAACATGAGGACAGAGTATGTTTACTATAACCACAATCATGAATGAACAGGAAGTGATGTAGATCACTTCCCATTCATTCATTGAGGATATAGTAAACATACTGTCCTCCATTATGTACAAACACTCAGCGATCACTGATCAGTGACTGCTTGTACCCGCTCTCCATCCTGACACGCTGAGGATGAGCGGTGGAGGAGAGAAAGCACGGATGCACCGCAGTATCGGGCAGAAAATTACACTTTCTGCATTATACCAAAAGTGCAATTTTCGGCCGATATGTGTGTCGGCGGCGCATATATATTGGTGCATCCCTAGTATATATGACTTCATCTACATGGCAGCAATTAAAAGTCAAACTCCAACCAAAACCTTTTTCTTTAACATTCAAGAAAGAATCATTGGAACCTCCATCAGCATTTTAATGTTGTAGGTGACCACAATGAGAGATTCACCCTCATTTCCTGTTCCCGTGACACACTGGCAGGTGAACACAGCGTGTTCTGATGTCGCGGTTTGCTGTTTTCAGAGACAAGCTGCAGGAAGTGTTGTGTACAAGGTATCATTTTCTGATTAGCATTGTGTGAGATGCTGCAGCACACTTCTCGTGGGGTCTGGCAGAGACACGGCGGCCGCTCTTAATGGAAAGTCTGTGCGGGCGAGCCCAGTGCCAGCTTGGTGTGATGCAGAGCAGGTTACAGTATAGATATAATTGCTCCAATCACAGAGTCTAGACACAGACAAACTCAATCTCTAGCATAAGACGGAATGTGGAGCAAACATTGGCCGTGGCGCTGTAAGCCAAAGAACGGCGACACGCAATCTGATCCCATCATAACAAACACGTATTCTATTTCCGGTTTGGAAAAGAACATTAATGGTGAAGTTTAGTACGAAGAGAGTCACGGGCAAGGAGCAAGCATGCATGCAGAAGCGGCAGAAAGTCATGTGGAGCCCGCCTCATGTCCATGGCCACACCCCTTTCATTCATTGGATTTCAATTCTTTCAATCATGGAGGCTCACCATCACATGTGGGTGTTACCTAGGGTGGTCTCTATGCACATGCAGCCACTCCTCCAGAATGACACCCACCCATCAAGGCATTTTGATATTTGTATAGCTCCTCCCATGAGCCAGCCCACTGCTTGCATCAGGGCTGAGGACTCTGTCTTAAGAGGAGTACTGCGGAAGGGAGCTGTGATGACATCAGGAAGCTATGAACAGCCAGTGGCATCACAAGGGGAGTGCAGTAGGTGCGGCCCGCACCAGTTGACACTATCAGAGGGGGTGACGCCAAAATGACTGACAATCATTTAGGTGTCACCCCCTCTGAAAAGTCGGGCACTCGGTCATGGACCGGATGAATGTCCCCTCCTCTTTTTGCCAGCGTCCATTACCAAGATGGCTGCTGGCAGGTATCACCAAGATGGCCGCACATGCGTGATGTCGTTGCGCACGTGCTTGATGATGACCGGCGCATGCGCGATGATGTCACGGCAGGGTGTCACCCGGTACCCGCTCCGGATGACACCTGGCCTCGGGATGCCCCTGTGTACAGCACCCAGCCAGCCTTGCCCTGCACCACCAGCCATAATCTATGCACTGCATAGAGAAGCACAAAGACCCAGTGATGATGTCACTGGGTCCAAAATATGGTATGTGAGGAAAATGGAAAGGT